AGGAAAGATGGGACGGATGAGCAGGGTGGGGGCACTTTTCCCTTCCCCCTTCGGCTCAAGTCTTCCACTTGCTAGCTAGCTTCACTGTCTGGGCCAATCCCAGTCTCCATGGAAAGTGAAGGCAGCCGCCAGCCACAGTCATGCACAGCCCGCCGGCCAGTCCAGTCCCGTGCCGTTATGCTGTGTGTGATCAGGAAATCACCAGAAATTGGCCAGGCGCGGTGGCTCACGCCGTAATCTTGGTACTTTGGGAGGCCAAGGGAGGAGGATCACTTGAGCCCAGGAGTTGAAGAACAGTGTGAGCAATATTAAGACCCCATCTCTATAAATAAGAAGAATCAAAAAATTAGCTGGGTGTGGTGGTACATACCTGTAGTCCCAGCTACTCACAGGCTGAGGCAGGAGGATCGCTTGAGCCTAGGAGTTGGAGGTTGCTGTGAGCTATGATAATGCCACTGCACTCTAGCCGGGGCAATAGAGAGAGATCCTGTCTTAAAGAAAGAAAAAGGAAATCACCAGAAATTTCTGACTTAAATGAAAGTATATTTGAGAAGAGTCACTGGGAAGCCAGAGGTTTTCAGTCTCCGCTCTACAATCAAATCACTTGAGAGCTTGTACAAAACACAGACCCCCATCCGCCCAGGCCTCCCTCTCTGGGGTCTGACCGAGTGGGTCTGTGGGGAGGCCCGGACTCCTGTGCTGTTTAAAACTCCTCTGGCGATTCTGACGAGCAGGAGGGCCGAGAACCACCCAGAAAGACCTTACTGGCTGTGTTGGGAGACACACGTCAGCAGGTTTGGTGGAACCCGGGTGGAGGGCAACAGTGGCTGTCACTTCCACCACACAGGAGGGGTGGCGGGTGGAGGACAGGGGGCGTCCCCAAAGCCAGCTCTGCCTCCAGCACCAGGGAGCGAGAGGTGCACGGGGAAGCCCCTGGCTACTGGAGTTCAGCTCTGTGTTTACGGTCTATTGGACCTTAGGAAAATCACTCCGTTCGTGTAAACCCAATTTTCTCATTCGTCCAAACAGGCTATTAATAGTGTCTCTCCATCGTCGGGTTCATAGGTGATCAAATGAGTGTGTGTGTGCACATGTGTGTTTAAAATCGACCAAAGTTTGACACATAGTAAGCTCTCAATAATGTTAACTACTATTAACTAGTCTTATGTGTCATACATGTCATGGCTCCTCGCCAGTTCCTAGTTTAGAGCAGAGCCAAAATCCAGGAAATCACCTGCTTT